CACCGCGGGGAAGCCTGCTTCTCCCTCTCCTACTCCCCCTGCTTGTGTTCCCTCTCTCACTATGTCTCTCTCTGTCAAATAATAAATAAAATCTTAAAAAAAAAAAAAGATTCTTTCTTTCAGAAAGACTGAAAGTTCTGTGGGCAAATCTAGGTATCATTTGGACCTTGCATCTGATAGGAAATAAGTGGAATAGAGAGTGTGTAAAAGGACAGCATCTGTCCCTGGTGGCTTGAAATTACCTTTTCATTGTGATAAAAAATAACCTGCCCCAAGGAAGGGCTGCTAATCCCAGGTTTGGCGGACCTTAGAACAGCCTCCCAGAACCAGCCCCTGCAGTAGAAAAGCAAGGCAGCTGGGCCCAACTCCTGCATTCATTCAGTAACAGCAAAATCTTGCCCCAGATTTTGGAAAAGGGAACAGGGGCAGAGAAAGACAGGTTTCGGATGCAAAGTAATCTCCCTTTCTATGTTCATTACCTTGAAGCAAGGACTAATGGTGGTCGGCCAGCGCACAGGGTCCTTGAGAATGAGGCTGACCAGCTGAAAGATGCTCGTAGTGTAGAAGGGAGGGGTGCCTACAGCCAGCTCATATAGTATGCAGCCCACAGACCAGAGGTCTGCGGTGTGGTCGTATGGACGCTCTTCCACCAGCTCTGGAGACATATAGAGTGGTGTGCCTTTGATGGATGTCAGCACCATCGTGTTGGTGCTCATTGCCCGGGCAAATCTGCAGGAGATGATGGAACGGAAATGGGAAGAGAGACCGTAATCAATACAAACTAGGCCTGGTGACTACTACCTATCATTGTGTGAGCTATCCCAAACCCACACAGAGAGCACCTTCCTAAAGACCCAACAGGAATCCCAGTCTCCAGCTCGGCTTCTAAAATGAGGCCTAGGTAAGTCAAGCATATGGTCTGAGACTCCCTGCAGAACGAGAAGCAGAGGCGGAAGGTCAGTCTCCTCACCCAAAGTCACAGAGCTTGATGCCACCACCCTTAGCAAGAAGGATGTTCTGAGGTTTCATGTCTCGGTGGAGGATGCGGTGGGAATGCAGATAGTACAGAGCGGACACCAACTGGGCAGCAATGGCTTGAACCTAGGGGTCAAACGGGTGGGAGAAAGAAAGGAGAGGTCAGAGGAAGGAGCCCACTGACAAGCCCAAAGACACTTCCTGAAATTACCGATGTGATCTCGTCTTTTTCTTTTTTCCAGAGCTTCCCATGACATCTTCCTTAGTTCTTGCCCCCCCATTCATTCATTCTTTCATTTGGTCATTCATTCATTGAAGAAAAATGACCATGGATGAGCAAATTATCCCATGCCTCTCAGGTGTGTCATTTATAAGCTGACGATAATAATACCACCTCTCTTATAGGGTTACTGCAAGGATGAAGTTACAGCATGCCATGCTCAGAACGGTGCCTGGCACTTAGTAAACCTTCAATATACGTTAGCTGTTATTAAGTAAGACAAAGTCCTCTTTCTCAAGAGAAGTGGCCAAACGAATAAGATACACAAAATGAGCAAGATGATAACTTGCAAATAATAATGCTCAGAGGGAAATGGTATGCTGCAACAGGAAATCCTGAGGGGGGGGGTCTACTTGCTAGGGTACAGAGAAATCTCTAGAACAAGTGTGGCTGGAGAATGTGTTCGACCAAATCCCACTGCTAACCACTAGATCTTGGTGGTGAATCCTGCCTTAACCACAACCCCTATCCCTTCCTGCCCCCTCTGGTACCACACACTAAAGGTGCCTAGTGACAGCAGCAGCATTAGTAATTGCTAACTAAGGGCGCCTGGGTGGCTCAGCCAGTTAAGCATCTGCCTTCGGCTCAGGTCATGATCCTGGGGTCCTGGGATCGAGGCCTGCATTGGGCTCCCTGCTCAGTGGGGAGCCTGCTTCTCCCTCTCTCTCTGCCTGCCGCTCCCCCTGATCATGCTCTCTCTGTCAAATGAATAAATAAAATCTTTAAAAATAATAATAATAGCTAACTATGTTGAATACTGTGTGTCAGGCACTCTTTTAAACGCTTTACATGAATTAATTCACTAATCTTCACAATAGCCTCATGTGACAGACATTATAATTACATCCATTTCTAAATCAGGAAACTGAGCACCAAGAGGTTAAAGTAACTTGCCCCCGAAGATCCAGCTAGAAAGTGACAGCGTCAACCTTTGTACTCCCAAGATTTTGGCTCCAGTGTTCACATACTTTCCTGTCACACCGCATTGTCTCCACATACACCCAGACTTTTGTATTTTCCTTGGGAGTTTTCAAAATGGTGACTCTCAGTGCCCTCAGCTTTCCCTACCAGTCCTTAAACTGAAAAGAGGTCAGGGGAGGGGAGAAGTTTGAGCCAGGAAACATACCTGGTCTTCGGGAAGTTTTCCGTCATCTTCCAAGATCTGAAAGAGCTCTCCCTCAGCATAGTCTGTCACCACCACCACCTGCAGGGAGAAGTCAATGGTCCTGATGGCTCCAGATTTATGCATTCTGAGATCGGGAAATTTCTGGGACCCTTCTTCTTGGGGAAGCGTGACCCAAAACCCAAGTGCACCTCTTTGTCAGTTTCAAAGCTGTCAAGCATATGCACAATGTTGGGATGCCGCAGACCCCGCATGATTTCAATCTCTCGTTGCAGATTCCTCAGCTCCTTCTCTGAGCGTCCCAATTTTGGAATGAACTTCAGGGCCACCACCTGTCAGTGGTAAGATGAAGAAGAGTCAAGGCCTAACTACACTATTGAAACATTCACCTCAGAGCTCCAAAACTCAGGCTTTAGATTGTTGGAGCAAATTCTCCTACTCCCCTTTCCCACAGTACCCTGGCCTTATCCAGGCCTCCCCCACCCTTGCCCTAGGAGAAAAGAGCCTCCGCCAGGCAGATCCCTTTCGTGGATTCTGGGAGAGGTGTTCTGATCTGGGTAACAAACTCTGGGTAAAGATTTAAGAGATTCAGGGGAAAGAGAAGGAAGAAAAAAAATGAAGAATTGAGTTCAGGTGGTTTATCTCTTCCGGCATGGTATGATAGGGGAGAAAAACAATAAATATAAATTTTATTTATTGTTTACTAGGTGCCAGACACTGTACTAGTATAGTAATTCAGTGTGAATCACATTTAATCCTCAAACCCCATCAATCAGATACTGTTCATAATTATCCTCATTCTAGAAATGAGGAAACAGACATTGAGAGGTTAAGTAACTTGTCCATAGTTCGAAGGCTACAAAATGGTGTACCTAGGATCTGAACCCAAGTAATCCAGTATTAGGGCTCATACTCCGTAAGAGGAATGAGGGAGTCAGTGCCTCAGGAATATAGGTCGGTATTCTGGTCCCATTTTCCACCGTAGTTGGAGGTACAGAATCCCACCCAAGAGATACCCCTCTTTGTTCACCACCTGAGCACTGTATTTTCTTCGACCTTTGTACACCCTCCCAAAAGAGCCTTCTCCAATCATCTCCAACACGTGGTACTTTTCCATGACAGAGGTTTCAGGATCCCTCAGAAGGAAGGAGGTAGAGATGGTGGTGAAGGGCTACAGCTCCAGGGACAGTTCCATGCATCTAGGAGGCCTGGTTCGGGCATGGAAGAAAGGTTAATGTTAGCCACCTTGCCTTTTCCTTTTTCATAATAATCCAGGCGTCAAAAACATCGTAGGGCGAAGCGGATGGAAAAATGAGATCTTGGAGCAAAGAGAGCGCCTCCTGTCGTTCTCCCTCCTTTTCAGCCACCTCCTGTCCCCCAACCCAACCTCGTTCCCACCGGACCCCGTGTCGCCCTTCCCCCTCCACGCAGCCCCGCCC